AATAAAAATACCATAAGAGTCAGCTATTCTACTTCTGGCTATTTATCCAAAGAATACGAAGTCAGTAATTGAATAAAATGTATGCACCCTTATGTCCATCACAGCGTTATTCACAATAGCCAACACTTGAAAGTAACTCAAGTACTTATCAATGGATGAATGAATAAAGATGTGATATATATACATATATACCATGGAATACTACTCAGCCATAAAGAAGGCAACATCATGCCATTTGTGACAGTATGGATGAACATTGAGGGTATTATACGAAGTGAAACAAGTCAGATAGAGAAAGAAAAATACTGATTGATTTCGCTCATATGTGGAAAATAAACAAACACATAGATAAGGAGTACAGATTGTGGTTACCAGAGGGAAAGAGGGAAAGGGGTAACGGGGCACATGTGTATGGTGACAGATGAAAGCAAGACTATTGGTGGTGAACATGATGCAGTCTCTACAGATCTGAAATATAGTAATGTACATCTGAAATTTACACAGTTATAAGCCATATGACTTCAATAAAATTAAAAAGAAATTTATTTTTAAATATAGCAAGACCCACTTTACACCTGGGCTGCAGGCAGCCCACACACTCACTGAATTATACAGAAGGACAGTTTCCCAAGTGAGTCCTGTCTGTTTTGCCACCATCGGAACCTCCTGATGAAGAACACAGGCCCAAGGATGCTGAAGCAGGTGGGACCCCTGGAGCAGGGAATGTTCTGAGAGTGTGTGACACAAAGTATCTGTGCAGTGCATACTGGGTAGTGAGTTTGTGCTTCTCTTCAAGCTATGCCTTTGATCATAATCTGCAGATAACTCAAGGAAAATCACTGGTAGTCTTGTTAAATGGAAAATTCTTATGTCTCAACTTCAAAGCTGCTGAGTTAGAATTCCGGGGAAAGGGACACTGGACTTGTCCAGTTATTATCGTGTAGACTGAAGTCCGAGAAGCACTGCTGCTGGCGTCCAGCTGTAGCCACTGCCCGAGGTCAAAGCTCCATATCTTGTGAGGCCTGAGACAGCTCCCAGGGGAGATTTCTGTCTGTCATCTGCAGAGGGGCGGCCACTTTACCTCTTCCCACTGACTCGCTTCCCTAACTGGTTTTCTTGTGCCTTTCTTAGTCCTTTTCTTTACCTTCAGAGATAACTGGGAGAGGCAAGATAGAGATATAAATTTTACTAAATCTAACTTTTAAGTAATCTTTAAAAAATTGTACAGCGTTCAGATGTAATATTTATTTTTCTTTTGGTTGTTTTTTGTCTTTGTGCCTTTTGTTGTCTTAAAGTATTTTGTGTTATTGGCTGGGAAGATAGCATGAGATTAACATCAGCTTTATATGGAGCCCCAAACCAGGAAGTGACTTTATATTTGTCATACAGAATTAAGAACCACATTTGTGTAATGATGTTTAAAGGAGTTTGGTTGTTTTATTCCTTGTTTTTTCTTCTTTTTGGAATAATAAAGTCCCAGTTTCTTCTTGGTGGACTGATCAGGAATATTGATGTCTGATCTATAAGTGAAGAGTAAATAGAAGGGAATTGTTACTATTCAGAAATCTCTCCCTCACCAACTTTTCCTAAATGGTAGCATGGGTGTTAGAGTTAAGAATTTTGAATTTTCCCTCATTGGATTAAGGAGAGAAAGATGGTCATTAGAAACTTAACTTGGACTTGTAGTAAAAGAGCATAACATAAGAGCACTGAGCTTGGTCTCTGCCATTTATCAACTTTGTAACCTGGGTGAGTTTTCTAGCCACTGTACCCTGTCTCTTCATCTATAAAATGATGAGAAGAACAACATCTACTACGTTGGGATATTTTGAGGGTTAAGTGAGTTAGTGTATGTTCAAGCACAGAATTAACATTCAGAGTGCAGTCCTTGGCTCAGTAGAAGTGTTTGTTGCTGTTATTATACTTATCATTATTTCATGTCCTTATCTTCCTCGTGAGTTCCCTGTAAAACCAACGATGATCCACAGTGTCAACAGTTTTATTCCAGGTCCCTGTTTAAAGGCCTGCAAAGGGAGCCTCGTGCTCATAACCTCCTGTTTTTATCCCAGTCTCTGGAGGGATGCATTTACCTCTTTCTTCTTTGCACTGAGGCACTGAATGGGAACCCACACCCAACCCTGCATGTCCTCCTTTTAATATCTGATGCTTTTGAAACACTGCTTAGTGTTCGCTTGGTGGACTATACTCTCTGACATGAACAATTCATGAGAGATAAGATGTAGGAAACATTGTTCCATGTAGGGCTCTGAGTTTATCATAACACAGAGTAGACTTGATCAAGGGCCAAGGTAAGTGTTCCTTAATGCAAAGATCTTCAGAGATGAGTGTGTTCTAATGTGACACCACCTGAAAATAAAGCAAGCACATAAAAGCATATGTAGTTTTAAAAGGAAAAGCACACAACTAAAAGAATTGATGCCATTAAATACACTATTCTATTTGTTTATGTATCAAATTACTGATAGGAAATAGCCAGGTGTAGAGATAGTAGAATTGATCAATTTCATAGAGAATTCTTTTAACAGTTGTTCATATCTTGTGTTTTACATCGTTGATTAGTGTAATATTTTCATCTTTTCCTTTCCTAATGTCTTTATCTTTCTCAACTTTTCCAAGAGATATATTTATATTATCCTCTAAAATTTTAGGGCAATTTAAAAAAAGTTATGAAACATGTTAAGTTATTGATTTTGTATATTGGAGGAGCACTAGATTGAAAGTTAATTAGTGATAGAGTTTTAGTTTGGTAAAAGATGGTAGTTGGAATTGATACCAGGATGTTTGTAACCTAATTTTTTCTTCATTATTTGATTTAGTTTTCAAAATGCCAGAGCAAGTAATTTTTAATATAATAACTTGTCTCATTTTAGAATATGTGTTCTTGGAGAGAGTGATGGAAGTAAGTAGAAAATAACTTAATGTAGTGACTTGTTTTTCTCCAGTTGATCTGTTATAAACCCAACAGCCATATAGCATCCTTTTGTCCAAATGACCTGATGACACTTTCTTAACTTTTCGTGGTGTGACTCTAGCAATCCGGGGTCACACCACCTTCTCCCTCCTAGTCATGTTTTCAGTTGTAAAAGTGACATTTTCAATAATAAAGTGAAAAATTTGCACACAGTCTACTATTCACTAAAATATATATATCAATTGCAAACTTTTATAAAATAATTATTAAGTAATGAACTATTTGCAGTGCACTTAACAACTGATTGATACACATTATTGTGTAGTGACATCATGGTTAAAACCATTATTTGCAACATGTGGCCCCTTTCAACTTTATTTTAAAGGAAAGGGTTAAATGGCTTTTTTCTTTTTGAAGAAGAAAGACTTGCGTTTCCATCTTAGAAAATTGAGAACTTGTTTTTTGCCTTTTTTTTTGTCTTCAGCTCTTCTTTATATTGGTTACTAACTCACATGTCCAGTTACTTCAGATTCTTGGTGCTACTTCTGCCTTTTTCATGGATCTCACTTTAATTTTTCCATAATCCCTTCTGTGAAAGAGCTTTAATCCACCTTCATATATTGAGGAAGGAACAGACCCTACTTTATGTGAACTTGGAGACAGAGGCCAAGGTGAAGACTTGGTGCCCCTCCTCACCAGTGAGCTACAGAAGGGCTGCAGATTCCTGTGAATTTTTTGCTCCTCTCCTGGCTCCCTACATAGTTGGCATTGTCTCCACGGAGGAGCCCAGCTTGTTACAATTGAATTCTTGAAGTCTATAGAAGACTGCTGAAGGATAAGACTGGCTAGAAAAGATATCAGCAAGCAGTGTGCTCCAAAAGTTGGTGGCAGAAACATGAATAAGAAGAAAACCTTTCCATTTATCTTGTTTTCTCTTTATCTTCTGTCTCTTCGTTTTCCTTTACTTATATGTTATAAACCCTGTCCATCCCCCCATAATGGTTTTCTTTTCCTCCAAAGCCCCAGTACATAGTTGTATATCTTAGTTGTAGGTCAACCCATGGCACTTCTTTTTCCTGGAGTCCCATGGCATTTTATTCATATCTATTTCATTCAAATTATTTCTGTAGTGTAATTTATCTGTTTATACATATCTGTCTTCCTTACAGACTCCCAACATTTCAAGACCTCTGGGCACACAGTATATGCTTAAGTATTTGAGTGAATCAATGAAGATCTTTTGTTGAATAAGATCTAAATAAATAAAATACCTACTCAGCACATGAATGCAAGCATTTGAAAGAGATTTGTGTTTGCTGAAGCAGGCTGTGGACCAGTTTAGGGGCTCACTGCCAAGGTTACACAATAGATTTAGACAAAATGAAAGAGATACTTTAGTTTTAAAATTCATGGAGAACAGGAGCAGGATATCTAGGTGTGAATCAGGACTTGATCATTCTTGTTGCATGTTTGGAAAATCCAGTCCTTTACTTTTCTATGAAAATGTGACTGGCCAAGAGAGTGAACAGAGGACTGGCTTTTAGAAAGGCAATTTGGTCACAGGAAATCCTGGAGGAAATTATATGGAAGGATAGCTGGTAGAAACATGGCAGAAACTTTTTGTGTAGAAACCTTAAAAATTGGGTTTACATGCTGGCTGAAAGAATTGTAACCCAAATTTTCTCCAATATAGATTTGAGCAGCTTTTAAATATCTAGGTATACAAAAGGATTACAAGGGAAAACAGATCAAACTGAAAGGAATTTAGGATGGAACAATGAAATGAAGCTGAAGTAAGCCAGTGCACTGAAATGTGTTTCAGAAGGACCTGCAGTTTTTAAAGGTAGTCGGAAATGTATCCCTCAGGTTTAAAGTAGAAAGGGTAATGGGAACAATTCTCTATCATCTCACGTCCATGAGATTAAAAGCAACAGTCTCTCAGAGAAGCAAAACTTTTCTGGCCTCTAATGTCCCAAAAAACTGTTTTGGGTGGTGCCTAATGAAAGAGATTCTGTGTGATGTAATGCAAATACAGTATCATCAACTCATTTCCAAGTTTAGTTCAAACACTTTAGGACACGTTCAATTGAGGTAGTGCACACATTCTATAAGGGGCCAAGGAAGAGGCTGACAGCATTCTCTCTCTCAGCTTCTCACTTGACCGAGGGAGAAAATGTCCTTGAACAGATTGACCATATCTCCTAAAGACAATGCTCCATTTTCAATTTTTCTTTTTGCAAACTCAGCCTGCATTTCCCCTTACATATGTAATCTAAAGCCTGTGTGTAGACATTGTTTGTTGGCAATGAGGAGTAGTTATATAATCAAATAAGCAGAACATACTGTTGGCGTCTTTTAGGAAAATTACAGGTTTAACCCCACCTTCATTGGTTGAAGGACATGGTATACGAGAATTAAAATATCTACCATTTATTATGCAGCTAACCATAAGTCATGCTATTTAAATGAAACAATGAATTGTTCTTCTATTAAGTTGATTAGATTTCAGTCAAAGTGACGTAATTTGATATAAGTGCATTTTTACTTAAAATGTAAAACTCTTTAGAGTCTGCTTCATTCAGTTTTAGAGGCATATTTTGTATATTTTGGTGAGATTTTATTTATTTTTCCTTTATAGCAGAGAGGTACATCCTACTCTTTTTCTTGTTGCTCTCTCTCTACAAGATAAAACTCATCCAAGTCTATTTTGTTTCATAAGGCATAGGTTTACTTTGTGATGATAAAGAGATCATTTCTGAAACATATTTGGAATTGTGGGGAGCCAATAATTTTAGATTATGCTCAGAATTTTGTGAAGTAACTTCAAAAAAGATGGAAGATTTAAAGTTTTGTCAGGAAAGTTTTCTCCTACTTTTCTTCACAGTAGTTTTTTGTTTTTAAAAACCAGTTTAGTTTCTTAATTCTTCAGAAGGGTGAGCGAAGGAGTTGGATGGTTTAAATGTACCCTTGATAGAGCTCTCTCTGTGTTACTCTTTCAAAACAACCATCTTAGTTGATGAATATTTAATGGGGACTCTGTCAGTCCCAGAGCTGAGAAAAGCAGTTCCCAAAGCTCCAGCAGGTCCTGGGAGAGGAGACCGCTGGTAACCAGTGTAGTTAGAGTTTGGATGATGTGTGGCCATTCTCAGGATGTTAGAACTGAGCGGAGTTCTCAGATGCAGCCCAGTGACTCTAGACCTGAGCCCTGCTCAGAAGCCAGTTGACTTGTCTTTGCTCTGAGCATGGTGTCTTCCCTCTGCTCCTGCCCCTTTCTGCCCTTTCTCATGCTTCTTCTGATTCTTTCTCTTTCCTACACCTTCTTTCTTCTTTTTTCTCTCTTTCTTACTTTTATTCTCTATTATATTTCTTCTCCTTATCATTTCTTTCTTCCTTCTCTTATTGCTCTCATTCATTTTCTTTTTATTTTGTAGTACAGTTAATCTGTACATCACTTTCATCTTAAAATCCTGACCATCTACAACTCCTATACTTCAGCTAACTATTTTGAAGTGAGTATTTTGATAAATTTCTCTTAGATGTTCTAACATGCTGATTCAAGGAAATAAAAACTATCATGAAAGGGATGGGGACAGAGAATGAATTCAGTTCAGGTAGCCATGGAATTAGACAGAGGGAAACTGAGAGCTCAGGTGTGGGTGTTCAAAATATTTCCTGATACATCTTTGTAGTTCACTGTTGCGGTAAACTGCACACAGTCTTATTTTCTGTTGGAGCCCAGAAGTTTTCTCCTCTGGGCAGGTCCCCAGGTCTTGGCCTATAGAAAAGAAGCTAGGAAACACTGCACACATTTCTTTTTTACTTTTTTTGTGTGTGTGAGGAAGATCAGTCCTCAGCTAACATTCATGCTAATCCTCCTCTTTTTGTTGGGGAAGACCAGCTCTGAGCTAACATCTATTGCCAATCCTCCTCCTTTTTTTTTCTCCCAAAGCCCCAGTAGATAGTTGTATGTCATCTTTGCACATCCTTCTAGTTGATGTATGTGGGATGCCGCCTCAGCATGGCCAGAGAAGAGGTGCATCGGTGCGCGTCTGAGATCCAAACCCAGGCCACCAGGAGCGGAGCATGCGCACTTAACAACCAAGCCATGGGGCCGGCCCCTGTATGCATTTCTAATGTAAAGAACTGTTAGCATTCCACCTGGAGACCCTTTGGGCTCTTCCCTGCACTATCTGAATAGAAAAAGAGGAAGAGAAGCTTTTCTCTATCTGCACAATGCCAGGACATTATCTTGAGTTTGAGAGGATTTGCATATGACTGAAAACAAAAGTGTTCCCTAGTTTGGATTTGCTTTAACAAGATCTATTGGCTGGCTTTGATGTTAAAGGTCTTTATTCAAAATTGGCTACCTCTAGGGGCAACTTCAGAGTGGAGATTTGTCAGTATGAGAGAAGAATCTCTTTTTGATTAATACAGTGAAATACAGTATTTTGGAAAATGGTTATATTTGAAGGCCACTTGTTAATATTCTGTTGCCAGAGTGACATCTCTTGGTAAGTGACTACTTCATGCTATTCTTGATGATTTCTGTTTGAAAGACACACCTTGAGCTTGATAAATAAATGGCAAGCAATAAGATATATTGGAGCATATGAGGAAGCCATTTGAGGTAAAACTAATTCAGCCGGAATTTGTTTTTCCAAAAGGGTCTGTCACGTGCATTGTGTATCTGCTTTCCCATGTCCCAAAGAGAAGAGTATATGCCCTTAAGATAAGGATGCAACTTCCCCCATATTGGCATTTCGTTAAGGATAAGCATTTCTCCCTAGGCTAGTATTTGACTGCTGCATTCATCCTGTGACCACTCAGCTCGAGACAACAGACCTGACACCAGCCATGCCCTTCCAGACAGCAGACCTGCTCCCCACTGTATCCATCAATAGCTATTCTGGCAGGGCAATCTGGCAGGGCAATCTTGTGGCTATTGTAAAAGGGACATTGAAATCCGATGTGTTACATTCTCTTTGACGGTATATAACCACTCTGTACACCCCACTTCTTCAGTGCCATTCCTTCCTTAGAGAAGGAAGGCCCTGGGCCATGGTCTTCAAAAGTTGGCTCATAATAAACTCACCCCAATTTTGATTTGTAGATTTATTATGGATTATTTACGTCGACATGTTTTACAAGTAATAAAATATCTTGAAAGGAAAAAACAATAAAGCAGCAGCCCTGCATTAGACATGAAAGTTGTGCTCCCCCTGCAGGGAAAATGAGCATACAACATTGGTCGGGTACTTCATTTTATAATCGACTGGTGCCTTTCAAAACTATAGCTATTATTGTAAGAGTGAAGATACTCTTAAGAATAGTGCCACAAAACAGGTTTTCCCAGCTTCTTTTTGTCAGAGCTGAGACTGACATCAGGCTGGGGCACTTGAAGGGGCATGGTGGACTCAGCTGAGAGTTATTTAATTACTGTGAGATGATTAGGCAATAGTGAATAAGATGAGGAAAGATTAAAAAGAGGTCAAGGGAGGGCCGGCCCCGTGTCTTAGCGGTTAAGTGCACGCGCTCCGCTGCTGGCTGCCCGGGTTTGGATCCCGGGCGCGCACCGAGGCACCACTTCTCTGGCCATGCTGAGGCCGCGTCCCACATACAGCAACTAGAAGAATGTGCAGCTAGGACATACAACTATCTACTGGGGCTTTTGGGGGAAAATAAATAAAATAAATAAATAAATTTTAAAAAAAAGAGGTCAAGGGAAATAAAGTTGGAAAAAATTAAGAAAAATAGTGCCTTCGATATATCATCTCATTATTTTTATAGCATATTTTTTTTGAGGCATGACTAGGATAGTATGTTAGATTTTTCTAAATCCTTATCTCCAGGACATATATTACTGAGTTCTTCATTATATATGATAAAGCCAAAGAAAACCTGGACAAAAGTATTCTATACTATCAACAAGGACAAAACATGTACAACATTGCTCTATATATTAAGATTTCAGCTGTAATAGTCAAGATATATATTCATGTGTGTAAAATTATAATGATTTTCTATTTTTCTCGGGCTGTCCCCATGGTAAAATATATAGTAATAAGCAGAAAACCTGAAGAACTAGGTGATTTAAAAGACCTGATGTTACAGCTTGTACATTCAAGGGTGAAATAGATCAATTTAAATTTCACACCTTCTCCTTTCCTTGTAGCCAGTGAAGTGTCTGGAAGACAGAAAACACATAAAATTACTTGAGAGTTAACAGTATTTGGAAGCAGTTGAGGTTAAGCACTGAACAATGAAGTCCCTTACTCCAGGAGCCATTGACACTTTGTCATATGTTTATTGTATAGATGGGTTCTCTTCTTAGATGATTTGTGTAAGTGTCATAGAAGAGAGAGAGGGCAGGAGAATTAACTATCACTCTACTGTGCACCGGTTCCTTTACTGTATTAACTCATGCAATTCTTACAGTAATCCTTTCAAGTAACTATTATAATTCATATTTAACTGATAAAGAAAATCATAGGGGCTGGCCCATTGGCACAAGCGGTTAAGTGTGTGCACTCTGCTGTGGCGGCCCGGGGTTTACCGGTTCAGATCCCGGGCATGCACGGACACACCGCTTGGCAAACCATGCTGTGGTGGCGTCCCATATAAAGTGGAGGAAGATGAGCATGGATGTTAGCCCATGGCCAGTCTTCCTCAGCAAAAAGAGGAAGATTGGCAGATGTTAGCTCAGGGCAGATCTTCCTCACACACAAAAAAATGAAAACCATGTTTAGGGGCTGGCCTGGTGGTGCAAATGGTTATGTGCGCGCGCTCTGCTATGGCGGCCCGGGGTTCACCAGTTCGGATCCCAGGCACACCGCCGGACTGCTTGGCAAGCCATGCTGTGGCGGTGTCCCATATAAAGTGGAGGAAGATGGGCACGGATGTTAGCCCAGGGCCAGTCTTCCTCATCAAAAGAAGAGGAGGATTGGCAGATGTTAGTACAGGGCTCATCTTCTTCACAAAAAAAAAAAAAAGAAAGGAAACCATGTTTACAAAATTGATCAAGAGTAAGAGGGAAGATCTGAACATCAGTATTTTGGGTTTTATGCCTAATATTCTCTCCA